TATCCAGGTAGTGACAGAACAAGTTTCAGACTTAGGCCCAGGGTTGCTGGAGGGTTACAGGTAGGCGCCAGGGTGGAGGCAGGAAATGCTGGGATAATGGAGATAAACAATGGCAACAAGAACAACAAGAATGTTAACAAATACCAGTGGCAGTACCATTTAGAGCCCCCGCTTCTTGCCAGGCAGCAGCCAGGCACTTATAGCCTTGGTGTCAAAGCGGCTTGAGGTGTAGAAACACCTTGGTTGCAACACTGCCAGATACCGAGAGCTTGCCACGCATCAGGCCTGTGACCAAGAGCTTTAGGGCTGGTTGCTCTGAACGCCTGAAGGAACCTAGGTACTGTCATGAGCTCATGTATCTAGTTCCTTAAGTATCTAGTTGAAGGTCACAGAAAGAAGAAATGGGAGCTGGAAGTTAACCCCAGCTTGCTTGCTTCAAACACCATGTGACAGTCAGAAAGGCGTCTTCTACACCTGACACTCACCTGTAAGAAAACCAAGACCAGGGAGGATGAGGCATTTTATCCAGGGACAGCATGGATGTCTTATCCAGATGGCAAAGTCAAGACTAGAACTCGATCATGCAAAGCTCCATTCCCCATCCTGGAATCCCACCTACAGCCAATTCAACTGACCTAGACTTTCCTGGATCTTTGTGTGGTCATTTGTTTCTCTTTAAGGACAGACCCGAGCATTTTAGAGGAGGTGTGTGGCTAGGAGACCTGTTAGTTAATTGCCTGGCTCCCAAGAGCTCAGCCCTGAGGCAGATACGAAAGTCACGGAAGAGGTGGCTTCTGCCCTCGATTTATCTACAAAGTTCCCTGTTCAAGGTTCTGAGGAGATAAAATTAGAATTCTGTGTTCTCTGCAGAAAGCCAGGGCATGTGGCTACTGTGACGTCCTAACTGCTTCAGAGCAGATTGCAGGGTGGGCAGTGGGGCTGGTTTAAGGGGCTTTCAAAAACCAGACAGCTCCAAAGTATTTCCCAAAGTCTGGCTCCAAAATGCCTGACTTGGCCGGGCACGGTGGCTCAGGCCTGTAATCCCAGAACTTTGGGAGGCCGAGGCTGGTGGATCACCTGAGGTCAGCAGTTCGAGACCAGCCTGGCCAACATGGTGAAACCCCACTAAAAATATAAAAATTAGCTGGGCGTGGTGGTGGGCGCCTGTAATCCCAGCTACTCGGGAGGGAGGCTGAGGCAGGAGAATCACTTGAATCCGGGAGTCGTAGGTTGCAGGAAGCTGAGACTGCACTCTGCCTCTTGTTTTCCACATAGCCCTGACACCTCACCTTCCAGCCTCCATGTTCCCATCTATAAAATTAGAATTCTCTTAGACTGTTGTGTCAATTATATGGTGTAAGTCAGAACTTGTGAACCCTAAGAAGGACTCATGACCCATGTCATCCATCCATCCAGGACTCATGACCCATCTCCTCCATCCATCCATCCAACCATCATCTATTCCTCCTTCTATCCCTCCCTCCATCCCTCTATCCATCCATTCCTAATCCATCCATCCCACCCTTCCTCCATCCATCCATCTACCCCTCCATCCATCCCTCCCTCTTTCCCTTCCTCTGTCCATCCATCCATCCCTCTATCCATCCACCCAGTGTTTATTTATGAGCACCTACTGTATGCCAGAAACACTCTGGCTGCCAGGAGAGCAGTGAAAAACAGAGAGGCTCCCCTGCCCTCTAGAGTTTACATTCTAGCAGGGGGAGACTGACAAAAATAAGTGCATAAATAAGATTATTTCAGAGAGCGCCAAGGACTATGAAGTCAATAAAAGAGGACAAATGCGATGGGATGGTGATATCTGAGCTGGGACACGTGTCACTCTATACCTAGGTCAAAGTAGGTTGGAAACTACTGGGGAGAAGAAAGAAGCCTCAGAGCATTTCTAGCATGAATCATGTCTGCCGTGTGGCCATGGTCAAGCTACTTAATTTTGAGCCTCAGCTTCCCATCTGTAAAATGCAGACAAAGGTGTGTCTCCCATGGAGTAGTCATGAGAATTCAATGCGATATTACATGCAAAATGCTTCCGACATTGGCATTCAATAAATGTTAGTTACTATCTATAATTAATAAAAGTACTACTAATAAAAGACCTCTCAAAAGAACCACCTGTCCCACCTAGGTCCTGGAAGATCACAGGCTCCTGGCTGAGAAAGCAAGCACTTTGGTGCCTGCCCTATGGGAGGGATTCCATATGAGTGTTTGTGGTTTTGGTATCTATTTGAGACTCCATCCTTGGCACTGCTGTTACCACTCGGCCAGAGAGCCTGGGGGTTTCCAGACCAGCTGGTGGACGCTCACCCTCTCCCACCTTGCATCCCCATATCCGGGTCACCCACCTTTCCTATCCTAGGGGACAGCTTGGGGACGGGAGAGGGTGGTGTCTATTTCCTAAGTCAAACCTCGGAAAGGTGAGGCGCCCAGGTCTGAGTCCCTTCATCTGGCCAGGGGCAGTGCCGGGTTATTTCTACAACATGGCATGTGTTGGTTTGGTTGTATGTGTGTGTTTTCCCTTTTTTATTTTGAAACCATTGTGGATTTACAGAAGAACTGCAGTAATGGTGCAGAAAGCCCTGTAACCCTTTCACCCAGCTCCCCTGATGTTGATATTTTACATAACCATAGTACAGTGATGAAAACCAAGAAATTGCATAGGGGAGTTTTTACATTTGTCTTTCATACAAACTCCAGGGAGGATGCAGCTCACCTCAGATGAGTCCCAGATACTTTTTGTGGCCTTTTTGAAGCCATTTCACAATGAGATTTTTATTTGTCTCTCCCAAGGAATCATTACCAGCCCTTCTCCTCACTCCACTGATGGATGAGAGAACTGAAACCCAGAGAGATACACTTTCCAGCAAATAGGGCCAGACTAGGCCTGGAACCCCTAACTTTCAATCCCCAGGCTGTGCTCTCCCCACATCACAACACTGCAATTTCCTTTTTCCTTTTTTTTTTGAGATGGAGTCTCACTCTGTTGCCCAGGCTGGAGTGCAGTGGTGCCATCTCTGCTCAGTGTAACCTCTACATCCTGGGTTCAAGCAATTCTCCTGCCTCAGCCTCCTGAGTAGCTGGAATTACAGGCATGTGTCACCATGCCCAGCTAATTTTTGCATTTTTAGTAGAGACAGGGTTTCACCATGTTGGCCAGACTGGTCTCAAACTCCTGACCTCAGGTGATCCACCTGCCTCAGCCTCCTAAAGTGCTGGAATTACACGCATGAGCCACCATTCCTGGCCGAGACAACACTGCATTTTCTAGGGCAGTGGGGACTTGCCTGAGAACCTCCACTCCCCAGTAGCTGGGACATGGCATCTCAGAGACACGTAGTGGCAGCAAATTCCTTGTCCTCTCTCCTCTCCTGGGGAGAAAAGCAGCAGAAAAGTCCAGAAATATTGCTCGACCCTGAACCTCAGTTTCTTCATCCCTAGAATAGGAACAATGATAAAATGCACCAGATAGGATTATTGTCTGAGGCAAATAAGATATTGCCTATAAAGTATTTCGAATAGTGCCAGGAATATGATAAGCATTCAGAAAACTATTATTATTATTGCTATGATTATTGTAGTTATTATTAATACTTTTGCATGTGATATGACATGATGAAGCAAAAGATACAGTAGGCCCATCATTTTCCACCTCACGTCACTCACCTGCCTATTCATTCATTTATTCATTCATTCATTCATTTTCACACTCACTCTCTGGGTCTCCTGCAGCAGACGCAAGACCCCAAAGAAAGCACCACCCAGGGTCTCACAGTAAGGTGAACAGTCTCTTTTGCACCCCCGCCTCTGACTCACTTTCCTTTGTCATTTTCTTCTGCAGAATTCTCCACTCTGGTGGCTGAAAGCTAAGAAGCACTGACTGCCCCAGGTCTTCCACCTCTCTGCCCTCAACACCCAATCTCAGACCCTCTTACCACCCTCCTGCATTTCTGTTCAGTTTGTTTATGTTATTTTTTACTCCCCCCATCCCCTGTGATCCCCTAATGACACCATTCTTCTGGAAAATGCTGGAGAAGCAATAAAGGCTGTACCAGTCAGACTCTGCATGCTCAGGAAGACCCAGGCCTGGTCAGGCACTGGCTTTCTAGATGCATCTGGGAGGGGGTGGGGGCCGGATTTCAACAGCTAGAAAAGATGTGATAGGAGGGAATGAAAGGGAACACCCTCTTTTCCACACTAAGTACTAAGCATGGCACTCTACAGAGGTTACCCACTTACTCCCCAAAACCACCCCATAAGGTAGGTGATGAAACTCCCATTCTCTGAAAAACTAAGTCTCAGAGAGGGGAAGTGAGATGTCTAAGCCCACAAAAACAGAATTTGTTAGTGTTGGGGTTTGAATGCAGGTCTGTAGATGGGTAGGTGGATGGATGGATCGATGGATGGATGGATGGATGCATGGATGGATGGACAGATGGATGGATGCATGGATGGATAGATGGATGGATGTATGAATAGATGGATAAGTTAGATGGATGGGTGGATAGGTAGATGGATGGATGGGTGGGTAGATGGGTGGGTGGATGGGTAAATGGATGAATGGGTGGGTGGGTGGATGGATGGATGGATGGGTGGGTGGGTGAGTAGGGGGATGGATGCATGGGTGGACATGTGGGTGGATGGGTGGGTGAATGGATGGATGGATGGATAAATAGATGGGTGGGCAGATGGGTAAATGGATGAATGAATATGTGGGTGGATGGGATGGGTGAATGAATGTATGGATGAATGGGTGGATGGGTGGGTGGGTAGATGGACGGATGGACACATAGATGGATGGATACTATTAAGACTTTTTGTTACAAATGACAGAAACCCAACTCAAGTAACTTAAGCTAAAAAGGAAGGAAACAAAGGACTTGATTGGCTTATGTGCCTGAATAGTTAGGGGTAGGTCTTCAGGAACAGCTGGATCAAGGACTCATGTGATATCATCAGGACTAAGTCCCTCTTTTCCCCTTTCTGAGCACTGCTTTCCTTTGTGCTGAATTTGTTGTTGGGGGGTCTCTCCCTTCATGATAAGATTCCCCCAGCAGCTCAAGGTGAACATTCAGCATTACCAGCAAAAAAAAAAAAAAAAAAAGAACTTCTTGTTCCCAACCACTCCATCAGAAGGCCACAGATTTAGTCCCATTAATACTAGTAGCTAATGTTTACTGAGCACTTACTGAGCCCTTTACAGGATTCCATCTGCACAACAGCCCTATGAAATGCGTGCTATTGTTACATCCCTTGTATAGACGAGGAAGCTAAGGCACATAGAATTTAAATGTTAGCCAAGTCACACAGCCGGCACAGGGAGGCTCCAGGACCACACCCCCAGTATCACCTCCAGAGCCTGTGTCCCTTCCTGAATCAGACACAGAGGCTGGGAGGAGGGATCCTGATTGGAGACAGGTGGGGTGGGTCACACACAAGGCTCATGGCCTGAGAGTGGGAGAGGGGTGCCCCTGTGGAAATGAGAAGTGGGGACAGATACTGAGGGTGAAAACGGCCTTGCCCCTGCAGAATAACTTCTGCTATTCCCCAAGACAGCCTTAGGGAGGTTATTTGGTGGGGAGGGAGCACTGGAGTGATAGCCTTTCTCTCACCAGACCCCATGCCCTGCCACCACCCCTGTGCTCTGAGGTGCCGCCCTGGGCAAGGGCAGTCAGGGAGGCTCTCCCTGAGGGTCCAGCCCCAGGCAGACAACCCATCAGGACCGAGGCTGAGGGTCAGGGATGGGTAGACCCCCATCCAGGGTGGCAGCCAGGCTCAGAGCAGGCAGGCCCAGGTCTCGGAGAGGACTCGAGGCCAGCACTGGGAACTGAGTCAACACTGCAGCAAACCCCAAAGGGCTGCCCTGCAGGGGGCTCAGCCAGGTGCCAAGGCCTGCACAAAGGTGGCAGGTGAGCCAGAGGTGGAGCAAGTGGGAATGAGCCTGGGAGTGGGATTGTGTGTGAGTGGCATATGCAGTGGGCAGGCACGAGGGTGTGTGTACACACACATGCTCCTGACCATAGTCGGGACCAATGCAGACATGGGTCTTCATGTGAGGTCTCAGAAGGCCCAACTTTACACACTGAGGTGGCGCTGGGGAAGATGAAGGGGGCCCCCCATGCGGACTTGTGTGGAATGCAGCAGGGCAGGGGGTTGGGGCTGGGGAGCCAGAGCATTTCACCCAGAAACCAGATCAGGGGCCTGCGAGAGGATAGGCAGCTCAGGACAACAGTGACAGCTGCCCGCCGGCCTCGAGTGGCCTCAGTGCCTCTTGTTCCACACCAGAATGACAGCCCACACCATGCAATCCAGACTCAGGGCAGCCAACAGCACAGCAGCCACATGTGGGATAGCATGGCCTTTTGACCTCTTGGGGGATGCAGGGCTCCAGGCTCCAGGACCCTGTCATGAAAAGACCCTGCCTGGGGCCTGGGCAGGTCAAGGAGGAAAGAGTTTCCCTGCAAGGGCTTAAGGCCCCTGCGGGATAACAGAGGCAGCAGCAATGGTGGCCACCTTGGGGGAGGGAGGGTTCTATTTACTAAGCCACAGCATCTCATTTCCTCCTTTCAACAAGCCTCAGCAATAAGTACTCCCATTACCCCCATCACAGGCAAGAAAGCTGAGGCCCTCTGGGGACACACAGCCAGCAAGAGGCAGAGCTGGAATTAAATGCAGGGCTTAATGACCCAACATACCACTGTGCACTGGGAAAGGTGACAGCGGTGGGCAGTTTGTGTGGAGGGGGGATGAGAACGGAGTACGGGAGTGTGGCGGGGGAGGTGGAATGACAAGGGACAGCCTCGCTGAACCCGGCAGTCACTTGCCAAGCCCTCTTCCTCCTGCCTCCTGTATCATGCTCCACTTGGCCAGCCGTTTATCTCGTCCTTGGCCACCACCTACATCTGGGCCCACTCACGGGCAGGATTGGACGTGACACAGGGAAGCCTGGCAGCCTGGGTCTCCCATTTGTAAAGAGTCTCCAATTCAGACATAGACATCTGTTCAAATGCGATTGTTATCCAGTCTGTGTCTGGAACACAGCTTGGCATCTTTCTATACTGCAACCTTCACCATGTCAAGGGGGCTGGCTTCTCCCAGTCTCTGGGAGACACTAGGGGGACCGCCCTGGTGTCCAGGGACCCCTGCAGTGGTCCCCAGCCTTTCTCCTGGCCTCCCCTCCCCCTCCCCAACCCACTCTCCACCCAGAGCCCAAGGGCTCTTTCCAAAACGTAGATCAAATCACATTGTCCTGTTTAAAGCTGTCCAGCAACTGCCCGATCTATAGAATCAAATCCCAGAGCCAAACACAGAGTTCCCGCCTACAGGCATGACCCAGCTTCCATCCCAGCCCATCTCCCTCAGTCTGGACCATTCTGCCTCCCTGTCCTCATCACCCCCCTTTCCCTGGCTCAGTCCTCTTCATCCTCAGGAATCCACTCTGAAGCATCACCTCCACTGACATCAGAGTGCCCCCCACCCAACTCCTGTAAGTGAAATGAAAAAAACAATACGTGGCAATCTGATTCCCGTCCACCCCTCCCAAAGACCATGTGACATCTGAAATCAGGGCCTGTCTGCAGGGGTCCATCCTGCTGGATCCCAGGATCCGGCACCAAAAAAGATGCTGGGCTTCACACATCCTGATGCAGATGTGGCCACAAAGGCCCAGTGTGGCTTGTGACTCACTCAAGGCCACATAGCAGTGCAGAGCAGAGCAGAATGGGGCTTGGCCCCAGGCCCCTGTTGTCCCACCTCTGCCATAGTGCCATCCATGGAGACCTGCTAGCTCAGTAAGGAATTCAGGCATGACAGGAAACCCTCCCCACCCAGCACACCCCACTGTGGCTGAGTATCACTGGATTCCAGTTCTTCAGTCTCCAGCCACCCACCGGCCTGACACCTGCATCAGCAGCCCGGTCTGGGTTTTCTCATCCGCTGAATGCAGCTCTGTCTCTTCATTGTCACGATCAGAGGAGGCTCGCTGTTTATCTCCATGCCTTTCTGTCTGAGAGGCTGGAAGCAGGAAGGAGAAAGCTCAGGCCGGAGGAAGGGTCTCAAATCAATCTGTCCCTGAATGGTTTTGATAAGAGCCAGGAGCAGCGCACCTTCATCGAGTGATGAATGATCACTGGCTCCCTGGATGGGTTGATATCCCAGAGGTGGGAGACAGGGGACTCAGTGGGGAGGGGAAGAAGAGCCAGGAGCATCAGAACAGACTCCATGGAGAGGAAGGGTGGGTGGGAGAGTCAGGATTGAGCCACCCTCTGCTGTCAATCATGTCCCTGGAGAATATGACTGTTGAGGGCTGCAGCTCTGGGGCTGCATCTCCCTCCTTCTTGCTGGATACTTTGTATATACCATCTGCTATGGTCTGAAGGTTTGTGTCCCTCCAAAATTCACAGTCAAAACCCAACTCTCAAGGTGATGGTACTAGAAGATGGGGCCTTTGAGAGGTGACTCGATCATGGAAGTCGAGTCCTCATGAATGGGATGAATGCCCTCATAGAAGAGGCTTGAGGGAGGCTGCTAGCTCTCCACCCTTCCACCATGTGATGCTATAACAACAGGACGCCATCTGTGAAGCCGAGAGCCCTCACCAGACACCCAGTCTTCCAGCACCTTGATCTTGGACTTCCCAGCCTCTAGAACTGTGAGCAATAAATGTATGTTGTTTATAAATTACCCAGCCTAAGGTATTTTGTTATACCAGTCCAAATGGACTAAGGTACCACGTCTTAATCCACACCGTAGCCATCCGAGGAAGAGATGTCTATTTTTTACAGGAAGGTTCAGAGGTTAGGCAACTTGCCCAAACCACACAGCCAATAAAAGTGAAAATTGCAAACATGTATTCCCTGACTTGACAAATAATTTCTGAGTGCTTTCCTGTGTACGGCATAGCTCAACACTTTAGAATGCTGACCTCATCGAAGCAATCACTTCCTAAAGCATTCAGCCTCTTTCCCCCTCTGCTTTCCCAGTAAAGATTCCCCATCCTCAAGGCACCTGCAGCCACTAAGACACAATCAGTCTAGGAAGATTCAATTTGGGTGAATCTGATGTTGGTTTATTTAGACCCAGAAGACTGTTGACAAGAGGTGGTTCAGCAAATGGGACAGAGGCCTGGTGTTCTCGGCTCCCTTCTCTTCCTCCTGCATCAGTGCCGCCGAAGGAGGAAGGCCTAAGCTCCCCGCTTGGACCCCAAACTGTGCCACAAAAGGCCCCCCCTCAATTTCCACTCTCAGTTGCCCTGCCCTGCCTCAGTTTCCCATTTCCCTGTACCTCCTCAACAAAGTCATTCGCAGGAAATGGTAGAAGACATGTCTTTCTGTGTCCTTTATTTGGGCCCTTGTGAGGGTCAAATCTGGGGGCTTAGGCTAGATCCTCTAGTCTGTCGCTGGAGTCCACAGGCTCCTCATGGCCCCTGTCATACAGATGAGTAGATGCAGCTCAAGTATCTTTACTGAGACTCCTGAATCCATTTGTTTGACCCCACTTTTTGCCTGATAGGAGACAGAGCCAGAATTTAAACTGGGAGGAGCCTGGAGGAGTCAGCTTCCCCTACACCCTCCCAGGATCCTGAGAGCACAGGGCCTTCTTAGGGCCACACTCATTCATTAACGCCTCACAGCTTTGTTCTCTCTCCCTCTTTCTCAGAGGGCCCCGAACTCCTGCACGGCCCACAAAGCCCCTCATGTCTGGCCCGGTCCACATTTCTCCTTTCTCGCTACTCTCCTGCTTTCTCCTCTCTCACCTCCCCCATGTAGCCCCACACCCCTACATTCATTCCCAGCATTCTGTGTTTCAACTACATAGAATGTGCCATGCCTCAAAACTGCCATGTCCTCCCTCTCCTCTGGGCCCTCACATAAGCTGTTCCTTCAGCTACATCACTCTTCCTCCCCGGCCTGGCTCATTGCGACACCAGCCTCAGGCTTCAGCTTCCATGAGGCTCCCTCTGGAGAGGCTTGTTTGTTCCCACCCAACATCCAAGCGTAGTTGCTCATTTTTACTGACAATAACTATTGAGCACCTACTCAGTGCCAGGAGCATCGGGCTCTATGATACATCAGCCAGCTCTCGGGAGCTTCAGTGCTGAGGTGCTCCTGCCCTGTGCTTCCGGCCCCGCTGCAAACTCCACTTCATATTGCTTCTCTAACCATCTGTCTTTTCAAAGGGACCAAAATAGTTGTGAATCCTACATCTGGTAAGGATTTAGAATCCTGAATATATAAAGAACGCCTGTGCCTCAACAACAAGAAAAAAACCTATATTAGAGTCCTCCAGAGAAACAGAACTAATTGGCTCTGGGTATGTGTATGTGTGTGCATGCCCGAGTTGAGTATCCCTTATCCAAAATGCTTGGGAGCAGCAGTATTTTGGATTTTTTTGGATTGTGAAGTATTTGCATTATACTTACCGAATGAGCATTCCAAATCCAAAAATTCAAAATTCAGACTGCTCCAATCAGCACTTCCTTTGAGCATCACAATGACCCTCAAAAAGTTTCAGATTTCAGAGCATTTCAGATTTCCAATTTTCAGAACTTGTAGGGGTGTGTGTGTGTGTGTGTGTGTGTACAAACATGTATATAGTGCATAAAAAGATCGGTTGTGGCCAGGCACGGTGGCTCACGCCTGTAATCCCACCACTTTCGGAGGCTGAGGCAAGCGGATCATCTGAGGTCGGGAGTTCGAGACCAGCCTGACCAACGTGGCGAAACTCCGTCTCTACTAAAAATACAAAATTAGCCAGGCATGGTGATGCATGCTTGTAGTCTCAGCTACTAGAGAGGCTGGGGCAGGAGAATCACTTGAACCCAGGAGGCAGAGGTCACAGTGAGTCAAGACTGCACCATTGCACTCCAGCCTGGGCAACAAGAGCAAAATTCTGTCTCAATAACAACAATCACAACAACAAAAGATTTGTTGTACGGAACTGGCTCACACAATTAGGGAGATGGACACGCCCCAGCATCTACAGGGTGAATCGGCAAGCTGGAGGCCCAGGAGAGCTGACGGCGTAGCTTCTGAGTCCAGAGGCAGGAAAAAGCGAAGATCCCAGGCTGAAGGCAGCCAGGTAGAAGAAATTTTCTTTTCCTTGGAGGGGTGTCAGCCTTTTTGTTCCATTCAGGCCTTCAACTAATTGCATGAGTCTCACCCACATTAGGGAGGGCAATCGCTTTATTCAGCTAATTTAAATATGAACTCATCCCAAAACACCCTCACAGAATCACCCGGGATAATATTTTATCAAACATCTGGGCACCCTGTGGCCCAATCAAATTGACACATAAAATTAACCATCATGCAACCCAATTAAAAAGTGGACAAAGGACTTGAAGAGACATTTCTCCAAAGATGATATACAAATGGCCACCAAGCACATGAGAAGATGCTCAGCACCATTTGTAATTAAGGAGATGTGGCAAAATCACAATGAGATGCCTGTACACCCACCAGGATAGCCCTTGTCAAAAACAATGAAAATAAGAAGTATTGGCAAGGATGCTGAGAAATTGGTACCCTCATGTATTGTTGGTGACAGCATCAAGTGGTGCAGTCACTGTGAAAAATAGTTTGGCCATTCCTTAAAAAGTTAGGAGACTGGGCACGGTGGCTCACGCCTGTAATCCCAGCACTTTGGGAGGTCAAGGCAGGCGGATCACGAGGTCAGGAGATCGAGACCATCCTGGCTAACACGATGAAACCCAGTCTCTACTAAAAATACAAAAAATTAGCCGGGCATAGTGGCACACACCTGTAGTCCCAGCTACTCAGGAGGCTGAGACAAAAGAATCACTTGAACCCAGGAGGTGGAGGTTGCAGTGAGTGGAGATTGTGCCACTGCACTCCAGCCTGGGCGACAGAGCAAGTCTCCATCTCAAAAAAAAAATTAGGACACAAGTTTCTGGGACAGGAGTTTCTATATGTCCCAGAAATTCCATTCCTGGGTATATATCCAAGAGAAATGAAAACACATCCACACAGAAACTTTGATAAAAATGTGTTTTGGTTTCTTTTTGGGAAGTCGAGACAGGCGGATCACTTGAGGCCAGAAGTTTGAGACCAGCCTGGCCAACATGATGAAACCCATCTCTACTAAAAATACAAAAATTAGACAATGTGGTGGCACATGCCTGTTGTCCCAGCTACTCAAGAGGCCGAGACAGGAGAATCGCTTGAACCCAGGAGGCAGAGGTTGCAGTGACCTGAAATCGTGCTATTGCACTCTAGCCTGGTCAACAGAGTGAGACTTTGTCTTCAAAAAATAAAATACATAAATAAATAAATATATGAAATATCCAAAATAGGTTAGGCCTTAGAGAAGACACATTAGTGGTTTCCAGGAGATAGACAGGAGTGATTACTTGATGGCACAAGGCATTCTGGGGTGATGACAACTTTTGATGCTAGAAGTGGTGGTTATACGAGATTGTGAAAGCACTAAATGCCACGGACTTGCACATTTTAAAATGGTTAATTATGTATTATGTGAATTTCACCACAATCGTCATCATCCTCACCCATCTTCCCCGTTTGGGTTATAGGTTTCCTGCGAGCTAGAATCCTTCACCATTGTAACCCCTGCACTGCGTACAGTCCCTGCCACAAAGGAGGTGCTTAATACAGCTTTGTTGAGTAAATAAACACAGAAAACAAAGCAAAAAAGGAAGCAAAGTACCCACATGTGGAGAAAATTAAGCCTTTCTATAATTAGGGGCAGGGAGTAGAATCTGAAGAGCAACTGGATTTATTTTGTGTGATTCTGCAAGCACAACATCAGGACCGACTAGTGGGATTGAGAAGGCCACAGCTCTTGACTAAACCTAAGGAAGCCCTGTCTACCCTTGGAGCTGCAGAGCAGTAAGACCAGCTGTTCTGGTCAGTTCCCTCATCTCTGCTTGCATGTCTCTCTTGAAGGCAGTGAGCATCCCATCAAGAGAGACATGCAAGCAGAGATGAGGGAACTTGTTGAAAGAAGTCTTCAGGCATCAGCAGGAGACTTCCCCTAGACAACGTGTTCCTCCCAACTCAGAGGTGCTGTGATCTGAGATGACTTACAGGTCATTAAAAACCCATTTAGCCTCCTGCTGGCTCCTGGTTGCCTGGTTGAATCAATCATTCACCAGATATCTACTGAGCACAGGTGTCACCCGGATGAATCCAAAGACAGCACCACTTCCTAAAGAGGCAGAGAAGTTTCCAGGCCGTTCTTTTTATTTTCTGCTTCTTGACCTGACCCAGGGTTCAGAAAACCAGTGGAGTTAAGGCTCTGATGCGCTGATGTCACTGGGTTCAGGAGATGACTTTGCAGTTCATGTCCCTCCTGCCGGCTGCTCTGTCTGGGGGGCTGTCTGTCCCTACAGTGTGCCTGCCACCTCCTGGCTCTGATGCTGTCTCCTACTGCTGGCATCACCACGAGCTGCTGCTCCTGACACTGCTCCTCTGGATGTATCTTAGTGCCCACACCGGCCCCAGCCTCCCTCAAGGTCAGGCAGTGGTGTACAGACAGGTAGCTGCTGCCGTGTAGGAAGGGAGGAGGTTGGGAAACGTGATGGGCATTCACAAACATACTATTGCATGTCCTTTAGAATACCGAGGCTATGCTCTAGTGACCTGGGGACGTGCGTATGCTGTGAAGTTTAATTTTGTGTGTATGTGTGTGATGAAGTGTTGCTCTCGTTGTCCAGGCTGAAATGCAATGGTGCGATCTCGGCTCACCACAACCTCTGCCTCCCAGGTTCAAGCGATTCTCCTGCCTCAGCCTCCTGAGTAGCTGGGATTACAGGTGCCCGCCACCATACCAGCTAATTTTGTATTTTTAGTAGAGATAGGCTTTCTCCATGTTGGCCAGGCTGGTCTCGAACTCCCAACCTCAGGTGATCCACCCACCTCAGCATCCCAAAATGCTAAGATCACAGGCATGAGCCATGGCCCCCGGCTGAAGTTTAATTTTTTATAGGTGACATGATATATTATTACCCACTGGTCATCATTGTTGCCTACTCAGCACTAATCCATCAGAACCCCATTTAGGGGCAGGGCACCAATGTGCCCTGTGGAAAATACTCCCCTGAGAAGGCAACTTGGTTTTGGTCTATGGGTGTCCACAGACAGCCCTGAGTGGGGTTTGCATGGAAGCCTCTGGAGAAGGAGACCCAGAAGCCTCTAGCCTTGGCCTTCCTCCTTCACCGTGTCTAGGATGCAACCATGGTGCCCAGAGATGGAGCTGCCTTCCTACAATCACAGAAACCAAGACGTAGCTGATGATGGTGGCATCAGAAATGCAGGAGAAGCCTGGGTTCCTGATGGCTCCTTAAAGCCTTCCCGCTGGCCTGCAAGCTGCCAGCCTATAATCCCAGCACTTTGGGAGACCGAGATGGGCAGATCACTTGAGTCCAGGAGTTTGAGACCAGCCTGGCCAACATGGTGAAACCCCATCTCTACGAAAAATACAATAATTAGCCAGGTGTGATGGTGCTCACCAGTAATCCAGCTACTTGGGAGGCCGAGGCAGGAGAATCGCTTGAACCCAGGAGGTGGAGGTTCCAGTGAGCTGAGATCATGCCACTGTACCCTAGTCTGGGCGACAGAGCGAGACTCCATCTCCAAAAGCAAACAAACAAAAACAACAATGAAAAACAGTGCCTATGACAGAAGGAAAACAGGCCCCTGTTTGGTTAAGTCACCGCAGTCTGCACCTGAAGGCGCCGTAATTCTAATCAATGCCGTAGAAATCAAATAAAATTTACGACATGTAATATAGTGGGTTGAGCAGCGCTGCCCAAAGATAGGTCTTCCCAAGCCTCAGACTGTGCCCTTATTTGGAATAAGGGTCATTGAGGATGTAATTAAGGTAAGGATCATGAGATGAGATCCTCCCGGATTAGGATGGACCCTAAATCCAATGACAGGTGTCCTTAAAAGGGACAGAAAACAAGAAGACAGGCAGAAGCCCAGAGAAGAAAGCCCAGTGGAGGCGGAGGTGGAGGCGGAGACTGGGGTGATGCTGCCACAGCCAGGGACCAGCAGCCGGAAGAGGCAGGGAGAGATTCTTCTCAGAGCCTTCACAGGGAGTCTGCTGACACCTGGATCTCAAACTGCTGGGCTCCAGAACCATGGCAGAATAAATCTCTGTCCTTTTAAGTCACCTAATTTCTAGTCACTTGTTACAACAGCCCTGAGAAACCAATGCAGGCAGAAAAAGGTGCTGTACAGGGTGCGTTGGCAGGCACCTGCAGTCCCAGCTCCTCCAGAGGCAAAGGAGGGAGGATCGCAGGAGCCCAGGAGTTTGAGTCCGGCCTGGGCAACATCAGGAGATCCTGTGTCTCTAAAAAACTAAAAAATAAAAAGGTACCAAAGATGTGCCATCTAAGTTGGGCAATTGAAAGACAGATCATTCTCACGCTAAGAAAGAAAAGGGCCAGTCAGGCACGGTGGCTCACACCTGTAATCCCAGCACTTTGGGAGGCCAAGGAGGGTGGATCACCTGAGGTTGGGAGTTGGAGACCAGCCTGGCCAACATGAAGAAACCCTGTCTCTACTAAAAATACAAAATTTGCTGGGCGTGGTGGCACATGTCAGTAACCCCAGCCACTCGGGAGGTTGAGGCAGGGGAATCGCTTGAACTTAGGAGACAGAGGTTGCAGTGAGCTAAGATCGCACCATTGCACTCCAGCCTGGGCAACAAGAGTGAAATTCCAAACAAACAAACAAACAAAAAAGAAAGAAAGAAAGAAAAGAAAGCAGCCAGCTCTCTGCAGCCCAGAGCGGAATGCTGCAGGGAAGCAGTCACTGTGGGACCAGGCCCTTGAACACTGTGCTGTGGAAACAGAGCGTGCTCTGATGCTCTGCGTATTCACCAGGGAGCCTGCGGGGCCGCCTTGGCTGCGCTCCAACAAGAAACCTCCACCCTGCTCTTACCACCCTGGCTTCTCCAGGTCTCGGGCCACTTGTCACCCTCTCCTCCAGCGCTCACATCTGTTAACTCTCGAGAGGCGAGCAGAGGGCCATTGGATGAGCACAGTGCTTCAGAGTCAATTCTGGGATGCCAGCAAATCTCACCGGGTGAGCCAGTGCCAGATGAGAAATTATTGGGCTCTGGCAGTTTTGCAAAATTCAAAGCTTTTTGCTGAAGCAGAGGGTCCGTCCTTGGAAGATTTCTTGCATAATCACCCAAAATGTCACCTTGTCAGCAACACCAGGGAGATCATATCTTGGATGAGCTGGGCCCAGCCCTTTCTCTGCTTTTGGAATGATCTTCAAGAATGTGAATTACAGCAGAAGCGAGGTCCAATTCTTCTGCCACCACAAACTGCTTCACTGGGCGCTTACTGCCATCAAAAGGAAGTTGCCTACATTTCCTGGGTTTCTTGCAAAGAAAGCCTCCAGTCCACCGTAGAGATAAGAGTGCATTTATTTATTCATCCACTTATCTATGTATTTAACAACCCTGTGCCCTAACGTAGTAATAACAGAGACCATTCACTCAGTGTTTACTCTTCGACTGGGCCAAGTGATTTCCCTGTAGAATCCCATCTAACTCTCTCAGCTCTCAGGGGTAGGTCTTATCATCAGCCCCACTTCACAGATAAGAAAACAGAGGCTCAGAGAAGGTCACAAGCTCTCCCGAGGTCACCCAGCCAGTAAGCCAGGGGGATCAGGTTTGGAGAGAGAGGATATGAATTCTCGTCTCAGTCCTTCTTCTTAGCTATTTCGTGTCCACATGTCATTTGATGCATTTAGCTGAGCCTCAGTTTCCTCCTCTGGAAAATGGACGGAGCCCAGGTAAGAGCTATCAGACAGGTGAAGTCCAGCATTCAGGGAATATTTTATACAATTCAGAACTTGCTCTCCAGCTCGGCATATCGCAAAACTGTGCTTTCCCAAAAAAATCAGTAGGATTTTCAAAATCTTTCCCAGCAAGCGAGATGGGACTCCTGAGAGTGGGCCACAGACACATGTTTTGCACAGATTTTAATCTCAGATCTGTTGACTTAAACGTCTATCCCCCGTGTTCACACCACTGGTCACACCACCCTCGGGTGGGAGAAGTTGAATGGGTCTGGGCTGCTTTGCATCTCATCAGCTTCCTCTTTGACAGCCAGGGTGGGACATCTCCTGCCAAAACAATCACTCCTGTTTACAGCTCCAAGAGGCTCAGGAGGCAGCCTGGAGGACCCACTGACTGGGCCAGCGGGGCAACCCTCTCTTCTCGGCCAGCCTGTGTTTATCCTGCGGTTCCACTGGAGAAAGCCCCCACCCCCAACTTTGTAGCCTGAACATCTATCGGTATTTTCACAACCTGTTAGAAGGCTGCTGAATTCCACCTCCCAGATGCCACATTTGGGTGCTTGACGACTTGCACCAAGAATATTTAGAGGAGAGGATGAGGGAACCAACCTCTAAACGGAGCTGATCACGGTAACAGGGACAGTTGTTACCTTCGTCCAGCACTTCACAGTTTGCAAAGCGTGTCTTAGGCACTACATGGTGTCGGTTTTGACCCTCATGGTAACCTTTAAAGAAGAGGGAAATTACAGGTATTATTGTCCCAAGCCTGGCCATGTCAAGTGGCTTGCTGTCTGTCAAGTCACAGAGCAAGTGCTCACCAAGAAGCCCCTGGAGGGACGGAAGGGCCAGGATGAACCCTAGGGGAGCCACTTCAGGAGCAAGGAGCAGAGAAGCCTCCAAGTCATGGGAGAAACCACAGTGGATGGGGAGGGGGCAGGAAGAAAAGCAGAAAAGGTGTCTTTGAGAATGCTGGGAGGAAGGAGAGGCTGTGCCACCTCTGCAGAGATGCTCCATTGGAGATAGTGTGGCCAATGGCTAAGAAGGTGGATTCATGGCTAGTATATTGCTAAACTTCCCTATGCCTCTTCTGTAGAATGGAAATAATGATAGTCCCCACTTCATGTGGTTACCATGCAGCTTAAGTGCTTATTCCAGGCCTGGCACATGGTAAGTGCAAAATGTCCCCTATCCTAAACGCTGGCATTGGACTTGACCACCCAGCCACAAGTGACATTTTTTCTTTTGAGACAGTCTCACTCTGTCACCCAGGCAGAAGTGCAGTGGTGCGATCTCAGCTCACTGCAACCTCCACCTCTTGTGTTCAAGCAATTCTCATGCCTCAGCCTCCCAAGTAGCTGGGACTACAAGCACGTGCCACCATGCCCAGCTGATTTTTATATTCTTAGTAGAGACCGGGTTTCAGCATGTTGGTCAGGCTGGTCTCAAACTCCCAACCTCAAGTGATCTGCCCACCTCAGCCTTCCAAAATGCTGGGATTACAGGCATGAGCCACCATGCCCAGCCATGAGTGACCTTTTTTCACAGGTTGGGAGTAAGATGGTTTGCAGCGTATTATGGAATGAGCGGAGGTAAGGGAATGAAAGAGCACCGGGAGAATCCCTGGAGGGGCCATACTTTGAAGGGTGACACATGGAAACATGGGATGGTCTCCCTTGGAGATCTGGGAAGGGCTCGAGCTTGTGTGGGCAGCAGGGGTGGCAGTGGGCAGCAGATGCGGAAGGCTCACAGGGGATAAGAGTCAGGGCACCAGCCAGAGGGGATATCAGGGGCTGCAAATCCTTAATTAGATGGATGGGTGTGGGCAGAGCAGGCACCTCTCCTCTCTGAGAGTCCAGGGGTAGATCAGGATGTGGGCTGCAGGGTTGGATGTAGCAGGAAGAAGGGGCATCTGAGCTTGATACCTGCCCAGAATAGAATTAGGCAGAGCTCCCTCCCTTAGTCACAGAGATAAGCATCTTTGGGTTAAGACAATGTTTTCCAAATGTTTACTATTTCTTAGAAGGCTTCCCAGATCTGACTCCTAGCTCCACTACTGTGCGACCTCTGACAAAAGCCACTTAATCTCTTTGTGCCTCAGTTTCCTCAGTTGTAAAACAGGGATCTTGAGATCATGATGCTACCTGCCTGTCCAGATGATTGTGAGGGTGAGATGACACAATCTAAGGAGAGAGCCTGGCCTGGGTAGTGATGGCAGGCTGTTATTATCGTTATTAATTTTTTTTCTTTTTTTGAGATAAAGTCTTGTTCTGTTGCCCAGGCTGGAGTGCAATGATGCCATCTCAGCTCACTGCAGACTCTGCCTCCCAGGTTGAAGCAATTCTCCTGCCTCAGCCTCCTGAGTAGCTAGGACTACACCACACTGGCTAATTTTTGTATGTTTAGTAGAGACAGGGTTTCATCATATTGGTCAGGCTGGTCTCGAACTCCTGACCTCAGACGATCCAGCTGCCTCGGCCTCCCAAAGTGCTGGGATTACAGGCATGAGTCACTGCGCCTGTCTGGGCTATTATTCTGGTATTAACTAGTATCATGAGGCACTCAGTTTGAGAACCAGTGAGTTAAGACAATGATTCCTACAGAGACCCATATTAAAGTGCAGTCATTTTGATGCTTACTTATACAATTCCTACTATCGACCAGGCACCAGGATATGATGGCTGCCAAGGAGACATGGTCCCCACTCAAAGGTTTGCAGCAGCAGGTGGAAGAGGCTTGCTCTGGCCAGCCATTTAGTCCCCACTACAAAACCCCAGGACCAGGGATCTATTCATGCTCCCATTCCACATGGGAGGAAACAGGGACAGAGAGGTGTAGTCCGCTGCCCAAGGTCACACAATGAGGAAGTGGTGGCGCTGGGATTTGAACATCAGCTGTCTGTCTGCCTCTAGAGCCTGCAGTGGTGTGTCCCGCCGGTAACTACAAGTGGTGGTGACTGCCACTGGCATCCAGAGTGTGCAGGATGTGAAGGGCAAGTGATGCCTGAACTGAGAAAGGCATACAGGAGTTAACTAGATCAGTGGGGGCAGCAGGGTTAAGGCCCTGAGGTAGAATGGGCAAGTTGAGTGTGAGGATGCAGAGAGCCAGTTGCCCGGAAGATTAAACCGGCCAGGGAGGAGGCACTGCCTGCTCACCAGGGCTGACAGCTCCGTGGGGAAGGTGGACTGTCCCCCAAGCACAGCGGGAAGACTTTGGGGGACTTTCAGTGGAAGTGTGATGAGATTCAGGAACACCACTTTCTACAGCTGAATGGGCTCAGCCACACAAAAGACCGAGGGACACTTTGAATACAGACACGGGGCCCCTCCAAAGTACATTAGATGGAAAGGCAAAATGCTGGAGTGTGGGTGCTGGCTTCTAGCTGCAGAGGGAAGAAGGAGAGACAGAAGAATGTGTATGCACCTTTGTGCTGGGATAGATGTAAAATCTCTCGGAAAGAGTATACAAGCAACTGTCAGGGACGGGAGGGGGTGTTCTCTGTAGATTTTTCTCTTTTAAATGTTAAACCTTGGGGTGAGAGTACCTAACCGAAATTAAGATTTTTTAAAAGACGATGCTGGCCGCTGAGTGGAAAATGGAACACAGGTCTACAGTGCATTCCAGGGCCTGATGCAGGAATGAGACTCGGCTGTTAATGTTTCCACGTGCGGCGGGAGATGAGGAATTAACTAAGATGGGGCCTGAGCGTGGGTGCAGCTGCCAGGAGAGGGCTGGTCTGGGACCGGCACTGTGTCGCGCAGCTGCGTGGTGTTATATAGAGTGGGGGCTGGGGAAGGGGAAAAAAGGGTAGAGAGTCAGGGACCCTCTTAACTTTGCCTCTAGCAGAGTTTGACATAGCTTCAGCCCGAGGCACCTGGAATTCCTGGGCCCCTCCTCGAACACCACCACACAGACTTAACGCGTGCAGTGTGGAAGGCGGGCACGAAGGACGGCAGCAGGTGCGAGAAGAAACCGCCAGCGGGGCTCAGGAGCCCCGGGCTCCGGGTTGTAAATCAAAGCACCGCGTCTCAAAGGGGATGTCTCCGCCTCTCATTCTCAGTTGGTGAGCAAACGGACAGAGACGCACTAACGTGGAACGTTCTCGAAAAGCAGCTATTGACTTCTGCAGATGGGGTACCTCGGGCTGTTCAAGGGGGCCTCCGGGTGGCTCTGGAGGGATGATTTGCTCAACTTTATATAAAGGCGGCAGCCCTCCGCTTGCAGCAGGCATTTTCCCGGCGGCTGCTGCCCCCTGCTGACAAAATCGGGATATGGCGGCCTCCGTGCCCCGCCGAGGCCACAGCTCTCAGGGCTCCACTTTGCATTCCGGGCGCACAGAAGGTGTGAGTCAATCCCATTTCCTCTGCCCTTTATTGAGATGGCCACCGCCAAGCACTGCATCAGCGGAGCCATAAACAACCAGGCCCACGTGAACAGTGGAAAAAAGAACAGCAAAGGTCATTATCAAGAGAAAGCAGTGCACCAGATGCGACAGTGCATTATAGGAAATTGTAAAACAGAACGGCACAGCCGCATTATAAATCTCCCTCCACGGAGTCGTCACCACCCCAGTGGCTGTTCATCAGAGCTGGTGACCACTGAGTCTTACTACGTGTCAGGCGTGCTGGGGACCCCCTGTATGTGGTGACTCTTCTGAGCCTCAAAGCGCCTACAGGAGCAGGTGGGAGGAGACTGAGACAGAAGAAAGGTGTCAAGACAAGGATTAAGCCCAGCAAGCCGGGGCCCAAGGCCTTGCAGATTTCAAGTGCAAAATCAATATCCTTTATTCAGTGGGTTCATACATCTGAATGCCTGTCACCCGAGGAAGATTTTGCCCCCGAGGGGACATTTGGCAATGTCTGGGGACATTTTTGGTGGTCTCAGCAAGGGAGCTTGCTCTGGCTTCTAGTCAGTAGACGACAGAGGTGTTGTCAAATATCCCATATTGCTCAGGACAGCCCCCATAACGAAGAACTCTTCATCCTCAAATGTCAATAGTGCTGAGGTAGGGAAACGCTGATCTAAATACATAAAATTCCTACAGATCCCCTAGCTGTCTCTTTTTGGCATTGCCTCTGACACGAGGGCACTGGAGCAAATCTTCCTTAATGTATGAAAGGTATTCTTCTTGAGGGTTCATGCAGAATAACTCTCAATTATTTAATTTCCCCTAAAACCTCCTATTTACCCAATTGTTGGATTGTATCCAACAGTTCTGCTGTTACACCATATAAATGATGGAACTGTGATGGGGCCTGGGCAGAGGGAGAACCCCCTGGCTGTCACAGCACAATGGCGAAGAGCCTTGGGCCCTGCAGTGTGCACAATCAGCCCTGGCACTGTGTGTGGAATGTTGCTGCTGTCCCTGGCAGGGAGCCGTGGCTCATCCGCATGCTGCTCATCAGGGATGTTGGGACGTGTTCATCCCCCAGGATGATTGAACAGTTCCTCGGAACAACCTGTCAGCAGCTGCCCTCCACTCCCCTCTTACCCAAAGCCCCGCTAATCAGCCCCAGCAGTCTAGTCCCTGGCTTTGGGAAGCAGCACTGTTAACTCTTCCTCTTCCACAGAGCATATGGGTGTAGCTAGGGGTGCAGGCTGGGGGTGGGAGAAGACCCAGGATCAGGCTACCCCCATCTGAATGGTCATGGCACACCACCCAGCAATAAGCCCATTGCCTGCCCAAAAATTGGTATTCAAGAGTTGGTGCTTATTGAATGAATGAATGCACAACAAGAAGGGTAAACCCTATGAGAGTCATTCATTCATTCTTAGAAATATTTACCGAGTGCCTGGCCATGCAGGGACTGTCCTAGATACTAGGTGAACAAAAGAGACCAAGTGTCGGTTCTCATGAAGTCTACCTTCTAGTGGAGGGTAACAGATACCATACAAATAAACTAATAAATATGGAATACAGTTGGCCCTCTGCATCCACGGGTTCCACATCTCTGTATTCAACCAACCGCACATTGAAAACGTTTAGGGAGGCCGGGCGAGGTGGCTCATGCCTGTAATCCCAGCACTTTGGAAGGCTGAGGCGGGCAGATCATGAGGTCAGGAGTTCGAGACCAGCCTGGTCAATATGGTGAAACCCCATCTCCACTAAAAAAAAAAAAAAAAAAAAAAATACAAAAATTAGCCAGGTGTGGTGGTGTGCGCCTGTAGTCCCAGCTACTCGGAAGGCTGAGGCAGAATTGCTTGAACCTGGAAGGCGAAGGTTGCAGTGAACCAAGATGCACCACTGACTCCAGCCTGGGTGAAAGAGCAAGATTCCATCTCAAAAAAAAAAAAAAAAAAAAAAATTAGTTGGGCATGGCAGCGCATGCCTGTAATCCCAGCTACTCAGAGGCTGAGGCAGGAGAATCACTTGAACCCGAGAGATGGAGGTTGCGGTGAGCCGAGATTGCACCATTGCACCTGGGCAACAAGAATGAAATTCTGTCTCAAAAAATAAAAAAGAAAACCAGTTCTCAACATGAGCATCTGTCGGAATCACCAGGAGGGCTTATGGAAGCAGACTGTGGGCCCCACCTCCAGAGTTCAGCTGGTCAGGGGTTGGGCTTGGAAATATGCATTTCTTACCAATCCCCAGGTGATGCCAATGTGGCGGTCCAGGGATCAGAGCGTGGGGTATTTGTTCTTCCTGCACCAAGTCCTCTACATTCAACATTGACAACATGCAATCATAGATCATCATTGCCTGATCATCTGCCACTCCACTGGGCTTGATGGTTCTATCCACCTCTATGTCCCAGTGCTTAGTAAGTACTCAACAGAATATTTGTTCAATGAATTCCTCAAACAAGGGTTCTACTCTGGGCCTTGCCATCCCACCGTGTATTCCATCTCCTGCCCTCCCAGAGCTCTGAGCCTTTGCACGTGCTGACCCATCCACCCCGCATTCGCCTTCCTGTGTCCACCTCGAAAATGCCTACAATGCTCTCCTTCCAGAATATCTTTCCCAACTTCCTCTCCACCAGGGTTAGGAATGCTCCTGGTGATTCCGACAGGTGTAGGGAGTTCTGTATCTACCTGTGGCACAGTGACTTGTCCACATGTCGCTCTTCTTTTCTTCTTTCTTTCTTTTCTTTTCTTTCTTTTTTTTCCTGAGACAGAGTTTCACTCTTGTTACCCAGGCTGGAGTGCAATGGCGCGATCTCGGCTCACCACAACCTCCGCCTCCTGGGTTCAGGCAATTCTCCCGCCTCAGCCTCCCGAGTAGCTGGGATTACAGGCACGCGCCACCATGCCCAGCTAATTTTTTGTATTTTTAGTAGAGATAGGGTTTCACCATGTTGAGCAGGATGGTGGCAACCTCGTGTTGACCAGGATGGATCGCTTGACCTCGTGATCCACCCGCCTCGGCCTCCCAAAGTGCTGGGATTACAGGTGTGAGCCACCGCGCCCGGCCTGGGCAGTCCCCAGGCTGAACGGCATTTGCCGTAACACCAGGAATGAATCCCAAGGAAAGAACGTGCAGACAACTTGCATTGTTTTACTCCAGATTCAGAGCCGAAACCATCAGTCATTCATAGAGTGTGTGTGTGCATTCCCCGACACAAGGCTGGCGGCCACCCTGAGGTGCAGAGTGGTGGAGAGGTGGACTGCAGGGAATGTGGAGCCTCCACACAGGCACCTTTACTGAGGGGCTGCTCTTCCCGTCAGCATCAGCCATCAGAAATCCCAGGGGCCCCGAGAGAGTGAGGACAGGGGGTACATTCGGCCAACCAATGGCAGCGATGATAAACCAGATAAGCTTCGTCTCTCTCATGCACCCCACGATCACTGGTGAACCTACTAACTCACAGGTTTCTCTCCTTCCACCCCCACACCCACCCCACGAGGTGGGTTCTCCGAGGCCCATCCTGAGAGGCTGAGGGATGAGTTAACTTTCCCAGGCCAGAAAGACGCAGTGATTTAGGTCTCTCGCTCTCCAACCACGTGCAAGAGACCCCTGACCCGGAAAACAGCCGCGTAGACAGAGCCTCCCCGGGCGACGCGCGCGCGGCGTGGTGAGCGATGCGTCCTCCCTTTGCCAGACGGTAAATGGACTAAGAGGAAAGAACGACGTCAAGTTCCCGAGTCTCCCCGCTCAGCCCCATCAAAGCGTGCCCGTTCTCCCTTTATTCACAAATATCACTCGAAACACCGTATTTTAGATTTTAACGCTCATAACATCTTTGGGCTTTTAAAATGAGATTTCCCTGAGGGATGCGGGCCAAGAACTGAACTTCTCGACGCACTGTAATAGCCGCGCTGTGCAGAACCCGGGAACCGGGGAAGCCACTAGAACCGCTGCGAACTCAAACCAAGTCAATACGGCCTCAGCAGCGGCAGCCCGGCCCACCGCGCTGGCGTCGCCCCAGAACGCCTAGAGCCGGACCTGCTAGAGTTCGCCCCCTGGTAGGCGAACCCACTTCCAGAAGGACAGCGGGAGTGGCGAATCCCCATTCCTCCCGAAGACGGGCCTAGCCAGCCTCCGACCAGTCAGAAAGCTTCTCTTACCGCTTCTGTCAGCCTGACGTGAAGACTTCTTTACCTCGGGACTCTATGGCGCCGTAGGGGCGGGATATAAAGCTGACTGACGTCATTTACAACCACTTGTCCAGCAGAATGAACTTGAAGAACAAATAACTTCACGAATTGTGTCTCAAGAAAAGGCTATTGTCCCCACCCTCTACTCCCATTGGGTCTTTGCAAGCCCTCGAGGGTGGGAGCTATTGGCGACAACCAATCGAGAGTCAGCGAGGAGGGGGAGGCGGGGCAGGTGGGTTATGGTTGCCTGGAGTGTGCGTTTGGCCGGGTACTTGGGGCGGGAGGAGATCCTTCCCTGGCCCCGCTGGGGAAGGCTGGGCTGAGGAGCTGTGCCGGGAGCACAGGCCGTGTCCGCTCGCTTGCATCTTTTCAGACTGCCGTGTCGGGCCTCGAGCCGGACCCATCTGGAGCCCCCCTATACACCGCTCCCAGCGCCCATTAACCGCCCACAGCCCAGGAGGGCTGGGCCCGGTCATCCCCAGCCCCGCCGCGGCCACCGGCCCTTGAGATCAGCCCTCCCCACCTCCCCGTTCCAGGACGGCCCAGGGCCCGAAGCCCACCCACCCGCGCCTCTAGCAGCCGCTCTTGTCCTCAGGGTACGGCTCGCGGGAGTGTTGGTTACCATGGTGAAGCTGGCAGCCAAATGCATCCTGGCAGGTGAGTCTGAAAACTTGCGCTTGAATACAGCGGTCTCTGGAGTCCCAGGCCTTCAAAATTCATCCAAAGCTTTTGTTCACCTAAATTTCCTACCTTCTTTTCCTCTCTCTCTCCTAAAGGCGAGTTACTGCCATTACTGATACAGTAAATTACATTAGCCGCGGAAGAAAGATCCTCCGTGGCACATTCGCAGCTCCAGCGGATTCCCCCTGCTCCCTGCCATACGCCGAGACCACCTTCACCGGTTGAACTGACTCGTTAAAAAAGTCACTAGTTAAAACTCTGGAGCAGCAGACTCGTTAAAACAAAACTTAAGCAAACCTTGAGTCCTTCAGCTAAATATTTACTGTACCCCAAAGTTAGGCTCGGTGACTTTGGTAGTCTTTACTGTGGGATTTTTTTCCCTTGACCTCACCCCCTCTGATAACGGTGACAGGAGTGTAGTGACCCGAGTTCGCAAAAGGCACTTGTGTGTTGTCTTTAAGACCCAAATTTACTGTGCTGCCCCGCTCCAAGAAGGACATAAATGTTGAGTCTCCCAAGGGCAGCAATCTTTGTTTTGTTGACTGATATATCCCAAGCGCCCAGAATAATACCTGGAACATAGTAAGCACTCGATTAATACTTTCAGAGTGGATGGCTATGTGGCTCGCATATTTTTAGTGCATCGTATCAGTCTGCATATTTAGAAAAAATGGCTTGGATTATAGACCTTTTGACTACACGAAACACATACGCACGTTACTGGATCCTTACTGCATACGAGGCACACATATTGCATGAAATGGTCCCACTGTAGCACTCTGGGCTACGTACTAGATCTGCCCAACTCTGAAACTCTTAACTCGTGTTTCCGTTGAAAGCTGTGACCTTTCCGGGCTTCCCCACCAGCTCAGGAAAGAAGTGGTGAGAAATTACATAGAGAAAAAGAGATTTCTTTTTTTAAAAAAAAGTCCACTCTTCCAGACTGAAAGTAAATGATCATATTTGTAATGGCTTTTATAATTTGAAAGTAAAAGGGTAACATAGAAAGATGACTCTGACAGTAGTAACTGAATCATACTGGAGCAAAAGAAATGAATGGTTCTCAGGAGAGTCTCCTGTTTGCAGAGCACCAGAGGAGGCAGTGTTGTGTAACAAAAGGAATTCTGCCCGTTCCTCTTACTGGCTGTGTCATCTTGGACAAAGCACTTTTTTGAGCTTTAATTTCTTTATGGATAAGTTGGGAACATTATTTTCTGAAGTTATATATTTCTTTTTCAATGGGCTTATCTCTGTTCCTTTTAAATTCGGTTTTCAGCGTGGAGCTAACTTACTGAACACTTTCTGGGCACCAGCTCTGGGATAGACCCTCGATTACAGGTGGTCTCACTGAATCCTCACAGCAACCCTGTAGGATTGGTGGTATTGCCATTCTCATTTACAGATGAGGTAACTGAGTTCCAGAAAAATGAGGACATTTGCTGTGGGTCACACAGCTGGAAACGGCAGAACTGTATGATCCAGACCCTGGATTCCAACCTGATTTCCAGGGCTTTAGCCCAGGCTACGCTGTCCTCAAGCCATGATCCTCATCTTCTGTTTCTTTTTTTTTTTTTTTGAGATGGAGTTTCACTCTTGTCGCCCAGGCTGGAGCACACTGGCGCAATCTCGGCTCACTGCAACTTCTGCCTCCCAGGTTCAAGCAATTCTCCTGCCTCAGCCTCCTGAGTAGCTGGGATTACAGGTGCCTGCCACCATGACTAGCTAATTTTTTCATATTTTTTAGTAGAGACGGGGTTTCACCATGTTGGCCAGGCGGTCTTGAACTCCTGACCTTGAGTGATCCACCTACCTCAGTCTTCCAAAGTGCTGGGATTACAGGTGTGAACCACCACACCTGGCCCCCCCTTTTTTTTTTTGACACAGTTTCACTCTGTCACCCAGGCTGGAATGCAATGGCGCACAATCTCAGCTCACTGCAACTTCTGCCTCCCAGGTTCAAGCGATTCTCGTGTCTCTGCCTCCCAAGTAGCTGGGATTACAGGCACATGCCACCATGCCAATTTTTGTATTTGTAGCAGAGATGGGGTTTCACTATGTTGGTCAGGCTGGTCTTGAACTCCAGACCTGAAGTGAGCCGCCCATCTCAGCCTTCCAAAGTGCTGGGATTACAGGCATGAGACACTGCGCCTGGCCTGCAGCCTCTTTTCAAGGCCTCCGCAGCATTTCCTCTTGAAAGTTTCTGGGGACCAAAAGACCTCAGCCCAGAAATCAGCCCACTTTGCCATGCCCACCACACGCGTGCACGCGCACGCGCACACACACACACACACACACCTACAGCATTGGTTTTATTTTTCCATCCATGCCCCATAGCCCTGCTGTTTAAACTGAGTTGCTCTGTTTTTTCTCTCACGTATCTAGTCATTGAAGGAGCTGACGTTCAGTTCAAGTGTTGATGCTTTGAACAGATACTGGCTGAGCACCTACTGTGTGTGAGTCACCATGCAAGGTGCAGTGGGAATGCAAGCGTGAGTCAGTTACACTCAAGGAAGAACTAAGATGTGTGTGAGAAGTTCTAGCAAACAACAGCCAGTGCTCTTTGTGTGCCAGGTGCGGAAAGTACCTCAAGGCACAGCTGCTACTTGTTCTGGTTCTGGAGAAGAGAGGAAACAACATTTGACATTTATCTATATTTTTTTTACTTTTAAAAAAAACCCCACTTAAATAGTACTATCTGCCAGGCACTGTGCATATTGACTCATTAAATTCTCATAACAATTCTGCAAGGTAGATGCTAGGATTATCCTGTGTTACACATTTTGCACCTGAGGCCCAGAGAGGTTAAGTAGCTGATTTAAAGTCACAACAGCTAGAAAGCGATGGAGCTGGAGTCTGGCTCCAGAGTCTGCACTCTTAAGTACCGTGATATTCTGCCTCTTGATATACATGGAGATAGTAATAGAGCTTCCTGGGAGGGTTGCTCTGACGTCATATCTCACACTACCAGTATGCAATGGTCTGCGTTAGCCACACACATAAAGACGGAGGGAGCGATGGCTTTCAAAGGCACGAAGGATATCACTTGAGCTTTCCTTGCAGAGAATGGATGGGATTTGAATTTGGTCTAGGAGTACCTAGAAGGAGGTGGCCTTGAGGAATTTCCAGGCACGGGGCGGACAGGAATGCAGAGCCCAGATTTGGGGTAAGGGATTGTTGGGGAGAGAGTGGGAAGGTGAGGTAGGTTTGACCGTGGGGATGGGTGGGCCATGAAGAAATCCTCAGTGGGTCTGTGTGAAGGTTTGCCAAGATGGAGGCACTGTGTTATGAGGGCTCATGTGTTGATGCCACGCTCTGGGCGGATTACAGCAGGGAGAAAAAAGAAGAGAAAGGAAATGTTTTCAGTCAAGGCACAGTCAGGAAGGCAGGAAACGCAGTCATTTCAGCAGAGAAATTTTAATATGTGGAATTGGTTATCAGCTGTTGGAGAACTGAAGAAGCAAGAAGGCAGCATTGAGATGACACAGAGTGGCGGGCAGACATTTCGGGTGTCAGAAGCTTGAAGAGCCCCAGGGAGCTGGGGTCCAGACCCCTGCGGAAGGGGCCCTGCCCAGCTGGTGCTGGCACCTTAGGAATTCAGTCACCTGCTGTGTGACACCAGCACATGCCACAGAGCACCAGGACCCGTTTCCCACTGGGAAGAGCTTAGCCGTGTTTTCAGGGCAAGACGCACCAAACCAGCTCCAAACCATCTTGGAGGGTCTGTATTTTAAGACCACTCTTGGTACCCAGGACTACGTAAGTCAGGGGCCAGGCAAAAACCAGGAACTGTACTCAGCCTTACAACAGTGAGGAGTTCAGTAGGATGTTAATTACACACGTGCCAGAGGGCTGGAAAGGGAAAAGGGGAGACTGAGGCAGCACAGGTAGTAACTGCAGGAAGAAGGGCCACCGCCTCTCGGGCTGGGGAAGCAGGTGGGGTTCTCAGAGCCCATAAGCAGGGAGGAGGGGCTCTGGGAGCCGAGGTGCAGATATCTGAGAAGAGGGCACTGCCCACTGCTGCTGGCTCCTCACGGGCAACAAGAAGGCTTGTCTGGGAGTGCAAACACACACACATACACAAATGAGACAGGAAGCAGTTAGTGCTGCTGGGGTGCAGGCCATTGCTAGGGTGGTGCCAAGAAAAAGGAGAAGAGGCAGGAAGAGCAATGTCCTCTCCCCTGACCCCAGCCTTCCCTTCTTCCTCCAGAACCCCCGTTGGCAGAGCCTAACAGGAACCTCCTAGCAAGGGAGAAATGTGTCTGTAGAGTACCCTCTCCGGCACACCACAGCAGGATGGACTCGGGGCTGAGACAGAAAACCAGGCCGTGGTCTAAGCTCAGTGGGGTGGGGTCAGCAGGGAGGCTGAGCAGAGGTGGGCTGAGACTCAGCCAAGGAGGTGAGGAATGCAAGGGAGACAGCCTGGAGATAGGAGGAAGGAGGAGCAGTCCAAGGTGACCCGTTGAATCTGGGGACAATGAAAACACCCAGG